CAGGACCCCCCCTTTACCTTTGCCCCGCAGCCTCTCCCCCCGCCCTGAGCCATGGCTTGCAGCCTGAAGGACGAGCTGCTCTGCTCCATCTGCCTGAGCATCTACCAGGACCCGGTGAGCTTCGGCTGCGAGCACTACTTCTGCCGCCGGTGCATCACCGAGCACTGGGTGCGCCAGGAACCCCAGGGCACCCGTGACTGCCCTGAGTGTCGCCGAACCTTTGCCGAACCCACCCTGGCCCCCAGTCTCAAGCTGGCCAACATCGTGGAGCGTTACAGCGCCTTCCCCTTGGACGCCATCCTGGGTGCCCAGCGCAGCCCCTTCCCCTGCAAGGACCACGAGAAGGTCAAGCTCTTCTGCCTCACCGACCGCGCCGTTGTCTGCTTCTTCTGCGACGAGCCTGCCGTGCACGAGCAGCACCAGGTCACCAACGTGGATGACGCTTTCGAGGAGCTGCAGGTGGGTCCATCCCTCCCTCCATCCCTTCCCGGCCACAGAGTGGCATCCCTGCAGGATCCCCTGCCCTGCGCTGCTCCACTGAGTTCCTTCATCCCTCTGTCCCCTCTCGCCTCAGCGTTGGCTCCCAGCTCCCTGCACCCTTTCTGTCCCTGTTGGGGTCAGCCCCGTGGCTTCCTCCCATCCATGTTCTTGTGTGTCTGTCCCCTCCCCTCATGGGATTCCCCCTTGCCCATCTGTCTGTCTGTCCACATCAGGGGTCCTTTGGGACCCCCAAACCAGCTGGCCATGCACCCCCATGGATCTGCTGAGCTGCCTCCCAAGTAGGACCTCTCCCAGACCATTACCCACCCCCCAGCTCTGCCCTGGACAGGACCCCCGTGCCCCTGCCACCCCCTGTCCCCCCCTTCCCCATGACCCCTGTACCCCACAAGCTGGGTTTTGGCAGGAAAGCTGCCTGCGGGGATCCCTTTTTTCCCCCCAAATCCCCTATTTTATGGGGTTGTTTATTTTTTTCCTCCCTGTCTTGCAGCGGGAGCTGAAGGAGCAGCTCCAGGGGCTGCAGGAGAGCGAGCGTGGCCACACCGAAGCTCTGCACCTCCTCAAACGGCAGCTGGCTGAGACCAAGGTATGAGCGGGAACGTGGCTGCGCCCCCCGGTAGCACCCCATCCTCACCAGCCTGATTTTGGGACGTCCCAAGACCCCAAACCCCACAGTTTCACGAATCCGCCCCATTTTTCCTTCTGTGGTAGCCCAGAACCTGCCGGCAGGTTGATGAAGCCACCCATCAGGCTGCTCACCCCTCTTTTAATTCCTTTAGGGCTGCTTTTATTTATCTTTAAAAATTTATTTTATATTTATTGCCTTCTCCTTGCTCAGGGGTTCGGCTTTCAGCAAAGCTCAGTTTTTCCCTCCATAGCCACCAGCAATGGGGTTTGGGGTTTTTTTAGGTTTTCTATAGGGATGCAGGGTCAAACATCCATCCTTGGATGCTCGGAGCATCCAGAATTGTTTGAGTTAGTGAGGCTGTAGGGGTATATTTGGGGAATTACAAATTCATGGAGGGGTCGGGACAGGTTTGGGAGGTCCTGACACCCACCTGCACCCCAAAAGTCCTCAGCCAAGAGCCTGCGGGTGACTATTGGGGAGGCTTTTGAGCGGCTACACCGGCTGCTGCGGGAGCGGCAGAAGGCGATGCTGGAGGAGCTGGAGGCAGACACGGCCCGGACGCTGACCGACATCGAGCAAAAGATCCAACGCTACAGCCAGCAGCTCCGCAAGGTGCAGGAGGGCAGCCAGATCCTCCAGGAGCGCTTGGCCGAAGCCGACAAACACGTCTTTTTAGCCGGCGTCGCTTCCCTTTCCGAGAGGTGGGCAAGACCGGGGTGACGCCGGGGTCCCCTGTGTTGTCCCCCCCTTCTCCATCATCTCTCCTTTGCAGGCTGAAGGGAAAGATCCACGAGACCAACCTGACCTATGAGGACTTTCCCACCTCCAAATACATGGGGCCACTGCAGTACACCATCTGGAAATCCCTTTTCCAGGATATCCATCCCGGTGAGAGGCACGGGGATGAGCTGGCTGCGGGATCGGGGGGGATTCCTGGTGAGGTACAGGGATGGGGGCATCACTGGTGAGGGACGGGGACATCACTGGTGAGGGATGGGGACAGGAGCATCACTGGTGAGGGACGGGGATGGGGGCATCACCAGTGAGGGATGGGGATGCAATGGTGAGGGTTGGGGACGCACCAGTGGCCTCTGCGCCACAGTGGTTTGCAAACCAGTGGGGCAGAGCCACCTGTGCTGGGTCTGGGGGCTTCATTGACACTTGTCCCCCTTTGTCCCTGTGTCCCATCCCCCCCCAGTGCCAGCAGCCCTGACGCTGGACCCCGGCACTGCTCACCACCGCCTGATCCTCTCCGACGATTGCACCATCGTGGCGTACGGCAACCTGCACCCCCAACCGCTGCAGGACTCCCCCAAACGCTTCGATGTGGAGGTCTCGGTCTTGGGTTCAGAGGCGTTCGGCAGCGGGGTCCACTACTGGGAGGTGGTGGTCTCCGAGAAGACCCAGTGGATGATCGGTTTGGCCCATGAAGCCGTCACCCGCAAGGGGAGCATCCAAATCCAACCCAGCCGAGGTTTTTATTGCATCGTCATGCACGACGGCAACCAGTACAGCGCCTGCACCGAGCCCTGGACCCGGCTCAACGTCAAGAGCAAGCTGGAGAAGGTGGGGGTCTTCCTGGACTACGACAAGGGGCTTCTCATCTTCTACAACGCCGATGACATGTCCTGGCTCTACACCTTTCGGGAGAGGTTTCCTGGCAAGCTCTGCTCCTATTTTAGCCCTGGGCAGAGTCACGCCAATGGGAAGAACGTCCAGCCCCTCCGGATCAACACCGTTCGCATCTAACGGCGGGGATTTGGCCCCTGGGGGATTCGGCGTGTGTGTCGGTGCTCCCTCCCCTGGGTGTTTTTCCGCTGTTTGGTGGAGGTCTGGGCTGATCCTGCCCCAGGAACTGCCCCCAGCACTGGGCAGGATCCGGCATTTTCATATTCCCCCCACCCTTCCTTCTCTCTGTCCTGTGCTTCCAGGGGGTCCCAGCGCGGGGGGGCAGCTGGGGGGGGCCGGGCTGCTGCAATAAAGGATTTGGAGAGAAGGGACCGGGTGGTGGAGAACCCCTGGGCAGGGGCGCGCCAGGACGAGCCGGGCCGGGATGGGCCATGCTGCACCGGGACATGGGGCACCGGGCCGTGCCGTGGTGTGCCAGGCCATGCCGTACTGCACCGTGCCGTACTGTGCCATGCCATGCCACACTGCACCGGGTTGTGGTGTGCCAGGCCATGCTGTGGTGTGCCAGGCCGTGCCGTACTGCACCAGGTCATGGTGCACTGCACCATGCCATACTGCGCCATGCCATGCCGTGCCATGCCATGCCATGCCATATGTACTGCGCCCTGCCATGGTGTGCCGTGCCGTATGTTCAGCCCTGTGCCACGGTGCACCGTGCTGCACCATGCTGTACATACCATGCCGTGTTGCAGTGTGCTTTGCCGTGCCGTACGTGCTGCGCCATGCCCTGCATGGTGTGCCATGCCGTGCCACGCCATGCATGCTGTACTGTGCCGTGGTGCACCGTGCTGTGCCGTAGGTGCTGCATCGTGCCGTGGTATGCCATGCTCTGTGTATGGCACTGTGCCATGGGGCACCAGGCTGTGCTGTGTCATACGTACTGTGCCATGCTGTGGTGCGCCATGCTGTGCCACACCATACATACGCTGTGCTATATGTGCTGTGCCGTGCCGTGCTGTATGTATGGCACTATGTCATCGTGCACTGTGCTGTGCCACACAATACGCCGTGGTGCACCATTGTCTGCCATGCTATATGTGCTGCACTGTGCTGTGGTGTGCCATACTGTGCTGTGCCATGCTGTACATACTGCACCGTGCCATGGCGCACTGTGCTGTGCCATACCATACATGCTGTGCCGTACCATATGTGCTGCACGGTGCCATAGTGCCCTGTGCCATGCCATACGTGCTGTACCATACCATGTTGTGCCACGCTGTCACGGCTCTGGGGATGCCAGGGTGGTGAGGAGGGGTCCCTGTAGGGGATGCTGCCTACCTATAGCAGCAGTTCCCCTATAGGGGATGCTGCCCATGGGGCAGCAGGAGGTATACGCCTATAGGGAGGACACGACATGGAGAGCAGGGTTGTGCCATGGGGCCCTGCACCTGTGTCAGGCTGTATAGGGGGTGGGCTGTATATAGGGGTGCGCTATGCAGCGGGCATGATGTATAGGGGTAGGTTGTAGAGGGGGTGGGCTGTACGGGGGTGTGATATATAGGGGTGTGATGTGTAGGGGCTATGACATACAGGGGTGTGATGTATAAGGGTGTGATATCTAGGGGCTATGATAATTAGGGGCTATGATATATAGCGGTGTGACGTATAGGGGTGTGAGGTATAGGGGCTATGATGTATAGGGGAGTGATGTATAGGGCGGTGGGGGAGCCGGGGGTACCGCCCGCTCGCCAGGCGGCGCTGCTGCGCTCCCCCGCCCTCCC